CAACTTCGAAGCCAGCTTGGAATGTCTAGAAAACAAACCGAGTTTGGAAATTAAAACCACATTGGATTCAAATGTATCGAATCATTCAACGATAGAAAACATAACCATCAGTCAAGTCAAATACATACCTTTAATTGCCTCTAAATCTACAGATTCAGGAATCTTTCCCTTTTCTTTGTGATGCAATCCTCCAGTTCCGCTACGACTACGAGGGTCAGTATTGCCATAATCGCCACCATCATCACTAAACTCAGATGTGGCATATTGCAGATTCAAAGAGTTGGTCGCTCCAATCGATGCAGAAGCACCTGTAGCAACCATTTCCGTTGTACCAGAAGCAGCAGCCTGATGTGTAGCACCTCCCGCACCGGTCCCAGAGCCCAAAGAAAAGGCTGCAGTGGAGCCCATTCCCCACTCTTGCAATAGCAGCTCATCAATAGCTGAGTTTTTATTTCGTGCAGCAGCAGCTGAAGGCGCACCTGTAGATGACCCCATTCCTGCTCCTGGAAACAAAGAGTTATGATTACTGGGATTATGCGTCAAAGTGCCCTCTATACCTATCGGAACCATAGATCGACGCGGGGGAACAACAAGCGATGACCCTACAGAAGTTGGGCTGGCTGGTGTGTGGATTGGTCTGTGTGCAGGAGAAACGGGCTGGGATGAAGAGGAAGCTTGTCGGAATGAAGACACGTTGCCATTCAATAATGAAAGCGGAACAGCAATCAGTGGAGATTGAGTTGAAGTAGTGCGGGCAGTAATTCGTGGCGGCTCTACACCAACAAGTGATGTTGTGCGTTCTGAAACGGCTGGAGGAAGCATGGACCAGTTGGTGGACACAATAACATCGTCAATGGGAGATCGCGGTCTCATTACATTGGATCCAATTGCTCCACCAGAAAGACTAGATCCTGTAGATGACGTGGAAATACGCTTCACATTAGAGTTTGCATTGTTGGATGGTGAAATATATCTACCCGTATTGCAATCGTCTGGAAACTCAAGATTGTCGCAAGAAAGTCTTGACGTGCCAACTACTTGTTGAAACTTGTCATCGCCAAAGGATGCACTGTGTCGATCGTAGAGTCGACGACTGTTGCGCATAGCTGTCATTTTATTGACGCTGACATAGTCTACTTCTGAAGATGACTCTTTTTCTGGGATCGCCGATGGTGGGATGGAAGCAGGCGTAGCTAATTAATGTATTGCATCAAAATGGATCAACCCATTCAAGATTAATAACCGCTATTTCAATAGACCTTTGAGTAATGATCAACATTTAACACAGCTCGCTGCATTTGATAAATCAAAATGTATCAAAAACCACTCAATAAGTGTTGAATATTAATCTGATAGTAAAAGACATGTTTACCTTTGACAGGCTGCATAGTGGCTGACGTAGCACTTTGGGTAGGAGATAATGGACCAGCCAATTGATCTCGCTGTGTCATTTGTTGAAGCACAGTAACAAAAAAGCGTATCTGCACCTGAGTAGTATTTTGTAGTAATGTATACAGGGCAGTTGTACGCTCTGGATCCGAGAGAACGCTGAACCATTGCTCAATTGCTCTCAGTTCTTCCCGAAAGTGATCATCCAGCCTTGCACGTGCCATTTGCTCCAGAGTACGCTCATAGTAGGAAAGATCTTCAAACCATTTGTCGATTGCTGGGAACGAGTTCAAGGGTTTCAAACGAGTTGCATCACGATTGAATTTCCAAGATTGAACAATTCAAAAATAAAGTTTAAATCAATAGATAAAGCATTGGTAAACCAAATATTAGTGACAACTCGTTTGACTGGACTGACTTGATAGTACATTTAGAGTATTACTTGAGCATTCTTCCTGAATGCGACTCCAACCCATGTTCACACATCTCAATTCACAAAACTAATCTAACCAAAAAAGCACACCTTCAGCCTCTGGTGACTTGTATGTAGCCGAAAGAATCTCTGAAGTTGGACGAGCATTGGCAGATGTAACACCTGAACTAGCACTGGACTTGAATGCATGCTGCTCGAGGTTGGCAGACACAGGCCGACCAAGGGTTGCTGTAGTTGACATCAGGGGTATATCCGAATGTGGTCGCTGTTGTGCAGACGACATCTGGTCTAGTTGGGCACAGAAAGGTTTAGTGGATTATATGGATAGATACAAATAGGCAGACGGCTACTTTGTGAGTGCCAAAAGAACAGTCAAGCTAATGGCAATAGTTGTTTGGGTATTGTATGAATAGTAACGATGACTGGATGGATGTCAAGTTCTAATTCCCAACTGAAGCGGTAGATGAAAGCTAATCCAGTGATTATGTTTCGACTGAATGAGCAAACACTGCTGGTGGAGTGACTGATACAATAGTTACTGTCGAGCTAGACGATATTGCAAAATGCCGAGTCAGGGAAAGAACAAAGTTGGATCCAACAAATCGAAACTATAAACCAACTCGAAAATATTCCAACAAATTGAAATCCTGTCAATGTGAAGATTTCAACTTGACTGGTAAGAATACTTGAAAAGCAAAAGAATCGACTCGAAAATCAACTCGAAAATCGTCATTGACTGAAAGTTCAATCAAAACTCGATCGATTTTCAATCCTGTTTTTTGCTGACTCGCATATTGTGGCGTTGTCATCTGCATTGAAACCATTCGATTCTCTGCCAATTTCTTCTGTTTGGAAGATCTGTGTTGAATGTCTGGAAAAACAGGAGTGCGATGGATGCTTTATTTAACCCATTCGTTGTTGGAAAGTCAGAGCAGTATATACAGCATCGTCACAATGAAAACAGGTGTTAAACTGATTACAGTTAGATAAACCACATAGGACGTCATGACAGCATCCATATTGTCTGATTCCATGGTTTCAAACAGAATATGCTCCAGCGACTTTGTAAACGTTTCAAGAGAAAACTTGGTCGTCACTCGCTCTCGGCCAAGTTTGCCCATCGCCTTGGCTTTATTCTTGTCTTTTACCAACAAGGCAATCGATCTGGAAAAAGAATCGGGCTCTGCATCACAAAGAATTCCTGTCGCATTATGTAGAATCGATTCAGTAGGACCACCGTTATTCGCTGCTACAACTGGAAGTTGTGCATACATGGCTTCTATCGGCACGATCCCAAAATGTTCATGAACAGGTGTGTACACGAGACAAAGCGATGTGGACAAAATAAATGTACGTTGAGCTTCACTGAATGAAGGTAGGAAAATCACTTGTGCATCACTTGGATGCTTCAAAGTATCTTTTCCGTCAAGTGTAGCAATGGCGAGTCCAAGCTCTTGAGCTAATGCCTGCAATTCTTGCATATACTCTACATTTTCTGAAACGCGAACATCATATCCACCTGGTGTTTATCAGCATTGGTTAATAAACACATTGCTTTGACAGTGAGCCAAACGTGCAAGTCAAACCCGTATTTTCAAGCTTTATTAGCAGACCTTACCGGCAATGATCAATCGCAATTGAGAGTAGTACTTTGGTACATGAGTGGACAAAAGTGCAAATGCCCGAATAGCGAGACCAATATTCTTTTTCCTTTCAAACCTGTTGATAGAAATGATTGTGATACATTTACTTGAAATAATAAACAGCGTATACAGTCCGTTAGAAACTTGATAGTATTGACCAATATGCACAAAGAATTGAGTGTATTTACACACGAGATCAAGGGTTTGACAGATACATCCGTGGTATCAACTTGGCGATCGTACGCATCCAGTCGAATGCCTGGATAGAGCACACCTGGCTTTTCAGACATTGTTTGGAACGAAGAATTAAACACAGAAGCAGTAAAATTACTGTTGACAACAACCTTGTCGGCCATTTCTATAAATTTGATTCAGAGATAAATGTAAATGAGCTTGCAAATCTCGAGCAGTATTTAACCAAAAATAGAACAAGTAGATAAACTCATTTAAATCAGTAATGCATACTGGTAGTCAGTTCTTCCATGATATCAAAAGGTATGCGATACACCCGTTTGATCAGCGAGTCGCGTTGGGTCAAGAGCTTATCCGGAAAATGGCAATAAAACAGAATCTACAGACACCATTGTATATTAAGCAATCATAATGGTAATCGACATGATTGCATACCCAATTCATACTACAATACATCCCACTCAAACCTTGGCACCAGTTAGTTTAAGAATAGGGATCGAGAAAGACAGCTGATCTACAAACAAAATATCATAATCATTGCGATGGATTGTAATCAAAGCCATTGCTAGATATAAACTCCTCAGAATCGCAAATAAAATCATGCCGCCTTTCCCAAAAAAGGATCGAGGCAGCCAGTCACCAAACACATGCACGTTCAGGGTTCCATCTCTTGTTTCCTCAAAACAGTGTGAGCAGTCGTGATGAGATGTATACATGGTGACTTTATGGCCTCGGGATTGAAGACCTACAGCTGCATCTACAACTAATCTTTCAGCACCACCTTGATATTAAACAATCGCCAGCCTGTAAGTTAGTACATGAACTCAAATAAACTATACATTTGAATTGCCAGAGGTGGTTTGTAAGTAATAACATGTCAAGATGAGGTTTATTCATGGCTTCAGATTTGGATTAAACTGTGAATTGGCTTACCAATACCCAGGTCGGGATGAATAAATGCAACTCGAAGTTGAATAGTGGTTTTGGATTCAATTAAAGAAATATCATTCGATTCCTGCTGTTTCGATGATCCTATTGCATCTTCTGTCTTGCTATCCTTTGTCTGCAGAGTGTCTGCCATTTCCAATACAAAAGTTTGGCCAAATTTGTTTGCATTTTGGAAAATAATCACGTTTTGGTCACGTGATAAAAACATGCATTTCAAGCCCAATAAATCGAGTTGCCACTAACATTTATACTCACAAGAGTTGATTCAGAGCAGTGCACACATGAGCGTATCTAAAACAGATTCAGAGCAATCCGTACCGCCATTTGATCCAGACTGTCATGTGCTACATATTCTAGACTTGGTGGATGAATGCATTACACGACAAGATATGATTACAAAGTCTTTAAGCAAGGTACATTGATATGCTCTGATTGATGACATTCTATCGTGGGCAAGATTCGAATGTTTGAATAAAATTGTAATGGATTGTAATGGATTGAATCAAAAGGCACAACTCATTCATTACTATACATTTGTTAATCTTTTTAAACTGCTGCATAAAGGCTTATTTTAATCTTGCACAAACCAAGTATATCCTTGGTCCAAGTAGACTCACGCAACATCAGTATGACCGCAGGATGCAGACTCAAATTCCACTGTAAGACAGTGTTTTGATTCAGATTCAACGAATTGCTCAACTCGACTTTGTTGGCATCAACTATCGAGCTTACTTGTGATATTGTTTCTTTTAGATCCATATCGGTAAATGAACAAGGGATCATGCAGGTCAACTCGATCCCTACAGAACCAGAGTCGTCAACTCAATCCAATACACCACTTCAAGAAACCTGTATAGATTCGGAAGAATCTGAATCGCATAAACAGAGTGAATCGGCTTTGCGACATCGTAAGAAAATACAACATGAACCCAATCTTCCTACAACTACCAAAGAGATGGATAGCGACTCTGATACTGTATCAGATCCAAAAGAATCCAAGTCATCACAGTCCGCTGATACTAAACCAACACATATTCGTGATCCACTTCATTGGTTTGGTCTACTCGTACCATCACATCTACGCGAATCTCAACAACAGTTTAAAGCAGGTAAGCCATCACATCTCCATATTTATTATGATCCAAACAAGTAGATCCTCACAGGTCAAGTCTGTCAATTTTTTACACTAATGATATCAACGACTAAATGCTAGGACTTGATCATCTGATTCTACTCGCAAATCTCAAAAGTCAGATTGTGCATACTCTTCAAAAATATGAGGATGCCGTTCAACTTCATGCGCTCGATACTGCTGCTACTTGACCTCTATGCGTATAGCATAATAAAATCATTGATATACTTGAGCTTCATAAAACGTGTAATCAAACTGCAGTGTGTTTCCAAATCAAATGAGAAATCATGGCTCAATTTAAAGTATTTAGCAAGAAACCGAAAACGGTCGTTTCATTAAGCTGTTCATTAGAGTTACCCTAGTCTGGGACAATACAGAAAATACACAGAACAAAAGAAACAAGAAATAGGAAAAAGAGGACAAGAAAAGTTATGGTAAATCTCTGACAGGACACTAAAAAACAACTTTGCGGGGACCAGAGGCAGTTGGTGCTTGCTTTGGTCGAAGTGAAACAACAAGTGGAATGTGATCCGAAGGATGGTGTGCGTTGGGAAACCCAACCGATTTCGCGACATAATCGCGATCCACATGTGACAAGAGACCAGCAACCGACAGCGAATTGGTGGTGTACCAGATATAATCAATCACACCACAAAATGTTGGCGTAAAGTTGGTAAAGTCCATGACATCTACATGCGAATACGCAGACTTGAGAGATAGCTTGTGTGTAAGCCCTCCGTTGGAATAGGGCTCGTAGTTGAACGCTTTGATGTCATCATGATCAGCACTGACGTGACCTTGCGAAAGAAACTCTACTACACCAGACTGTGGAAGTGAATTAAGATCGCCACATACTATGGTGGACACTGTAGGCTGTTTTCCTTCTGTGCGATGCGTCTTTTGCCATACTGATAAAAGACGCTCCACTTCCTCTATCATCATTGCAGTCTGAATCAATTTGACATCACAGTAAGCCGGATCCCAGTGCAAGTGAGCATTTGCAATCATCAAACGGTCGCCACTGCCAATGTGCTCCAAATACGTCATTACTGCAATATTATCCTTTACCATAACACGATTAAGAACATCCTGTGATTGTCTAAGATCAGGACGCTGCATTGCAATGGTTTGAAATTCTGCATTAAATTTTTCTAGCATCCTGAATCTAAAATAAATGGTTGTTAGCAACCAGCTACAATGTTGGCCATAACAGTACAGTGATACTAGAGACAATACAACACACTTTGTAGTCTTGAATAGGGTTGCACATCCATCCACTTGTCTACGTTCATATTCGTTCATTGTTTTTGAGCGTGATTTGGGATAAAAAACACCTTCATAATCTGCCAAATGAGCTAATTGAACCTTGAAATAATCTTCAAACTGACCCATATCAATCTCCTGCAAACAGACAATATCTGCATTGTAATTTAAAATATCTTGTAAAATAAGATCTCGTCGATATTCCCATGACAGTGCCCATGATGGAGTGTATGCATACGACTGTGGAGTAGCATATTTTTGACACAGAGTATTATAGCACATGATAGTAATAGACTCTGAATCATAAAATTGTTAATATCAACTATAGAACCAAGGAAAGTGGCAAACTACTTACCCGAAGCAGTCTTGTTGCTGGAATCCTCATCAAGTTCAATCCATTCACGATCAGCAGGAGGCGTACCGACTAGATGAGTATGAGAACATACAAGTTAGAAATAGAGAATCGGGCATATACGCCAAACCAGAATGTATTCAAAGCTGCATTTTCTATTGTAAAGTACAGCATATTCCAAACTTACCTGGACAATTATCACGCAGATATGTAATGATTCCCATAGTGCCGTCTTTTTGTAGCAACGAAGGCAGTGGTTCTCCTATAGGATTTCCCTCCAGCCCAATGGTATCAAGCTGATACAATTGGCCAAGCTCGGGTGGGAGAAATGTAAGCTCATTATCAAAAAGAAGCAACTCTTTAAGCGTCGTCAACAGGCCAAGTTCTGCGGGGATAGTCGATAATTTGTTCCCAGAAAGATCCAAAAGAATCAAAAAGCGTAGGTTTGCAATCTCGGGAGGAATGGTCGTTAAGTTGTTGTGATTTAAATAAAGACTAGTAATAAATCTATACCGGAAAAGCTCTTTGCTTAAATTGTGAATCATCATACCGCCTAGATCGAGCGACGTCCAATCTGCCGCACGCTCAGGTTGCTCTTGTGCAACAGTATGTGATGCAACAGAAGTCCTAGAGTCTGAAAGGTTATTGATACTATTTGTACTTCCTGCTTTGATATTGAGAGCACTAGATAAGTTTGAGCGTGATGATGTAGCATGCACTCGCGCATGATGATGTGGTGAAGACGACATGCGCGATGTTTGTGCCATATCAAGCTGTTTTTGAATATGTGAAGTAACATTGGCCCCTAAACTAGTCCCAGACGATGATTGCATTGACACTGGAGAAGACATGGTAGTCTGGCTAGCATATGGATTGATCATATGATTATGCCCCATCCCTGAATGCACGTTATGAGCAGGCATTTTTTGGAAATGCATCTGGGCTGAAAATCTATGTTGCATGCCAGATACAAACATATGATGGTTTCCATATCCGTTTGACATTTCTGCAGATCCGGATAGTTGGGAGGTAGAAGAGTGGGTGATTCCAGATGCAGGAGTATAATATCCCTGTGCAGTGAATGGATGATACTTGTACTGACTGTAGTGATCCTCCTTATCATTCATTGACAAGAGCAAGCAAGAAGAATTCAAGTGCACTTATAAAACACAATGCACTAGAAAGTTAAGCGTGGGTAACAGTCTAGGCAATATCAAGCACGCATTCAAAACAGATGGTCAGTACATAGATTAAGCAACATACAACATGATTAAGCCCAACACTGTTTGAAAGCAAAGGGTAGACTAATAGACCAATCTGTCGAATCCATGTATCTCAATCAACAGGGTCTGATAAAGGCGTAAAGCTACAGCTGGCAAACTAGCCAATACCATCATAAAACTCTTTAACTAACAAGCAGTAAAACATGCAAACTCACTTTCTATCTGTTCTGAAAAAGTAGATCAATAAAGAAATATTAAAGCACTTCTATTCGATATATGTGAATCTCGACTTGTTAACGCGCTAGATCCGGTGGAGCAGTGATCTTATGGATAACCCCACACAATTGACAAAAGGTTGGTTTAAATGCAGGTTTTCAATATAATTGAAAAGTGCATGATTGGATACAATCGTTGTTCAATTATGACATATTCGGATTGAAAAGTTTGATCGGCCGAGCAACGTACACAGTATAGTGAATCAAGGTAGCAGGAAAATAGTCAGCATTTTTATCCATGAATGAGGAGCAGAATAGTCAGATAACTGCCAGGAATACCAAGACACAAGTTTAAACGAGTCTAATGTAGTAAGGCTGTTTATATTCAGGCATTCACATTGCAAGACAAAGGAGTGTGCCAAACAGAGCCCAAGATGCCCAAAATAGCAGATACAATACTATTAAAAAGAAACTATGGAAGCACTCAAGGAATCACATTGGAATCCAGCACTCTGCCCCAGAATCAACCAGTCGCATACTTGCTAGTCTTTATGCATGCATACATAGACTGGGGAGTATGTGGCTGGTAACAAACTCGCTTTCATGAAACAGTATGACTGTAATAGAATTCCATCTTCTTCTATTATTGCTAGGATGAGATGGCCAGGATATCCATCCATAGCAAGTACAAGTGTGGTGGCCATCAAGCTCTTTGCTATCGATATTCTTGTGGTTGAGCTTATACCATAAAGTAGTTGTAGAAATCATACACCAGAAACAGTAGATATAAAGGACTGTATATAGCTACACAAATGCATACCAGGCTCGGGAGCTACAGAAGTGACAAGTGTGGATGATGGCAGTTGTTCAAAATGGTCAAAGTCACGCAAAGTCAGAATGCATCGAAAATGAGTCTTTCAGACTCCAGCAGTGCCAAGTCGCTGCTCATGCATCGACACGATCTGTTCTGTTCAGCTATGATTCGTGCATTCATTTCAACGGCTAGTCTTTCACATGCCATTTGATCTGTCATTCAGTTGCATTTTATTCTATTGTAGACAAATCATCGAGTCAATCTTGAATTCTAGCAGCTACATTCAAACCAATCCTAAACACATGCTTGAATCATACACAAACTAGTAGATATAATCAAAATGTATTGTTTTTTATTTTGGACTCTTTATCCTTGTACATTATCAACGCGATTTGCTCTTGGATGATCCGCCAGCTACTGATTTCTTTGCATTCTTGCCTTTTGGCGTTGTCTTGCTCTCTGCAGCCTGTATTCATCAGATTTAATAAAAATGGGTCAAACAAATCTAACAGTGTATACAGCAAAATCAAAACCCACCTTGCGTTTCAAAGTCAATGGGTCAGATGCAGGTCTGGGAATGGCTTTGAAAAATCCATCCAAACGTCCTTGTGTGGCAGTACCCATCAACTTGGATAATCTCTCTGCTGCCTTTTTAACACGATCCTCACTGGTTTGTTTAAAATATTGTCAGGTTTTTCAATCTTTAAACCAAAACATCAAACTCTTTACCTGAATCCCTTTTCTGTCACTAGAAATTGGAGCAAGCCTGCCTCATCTGGCTTGGTCCAATTCAACTACACAATCGTACAAGCACAACCCATTTCAGTTGACTTGAAATTCGTGTACAGAATTATGCCAAAAAATCAAATATTACCTCGACAGTTGCAGGATCAAGTACATCTGGTTCCTTGAATAGTTGTCGTGCTTCTTTAAACGGCCAATTTTCAGGAACTTTATACTTTGTTTTATCAATACTCTTGATAATGTTTTCGATTGTCCGATGCTCCTTCATTAGCTGGACCGCGCGATGGGGTCCAATACCACGAATAGAATCACAGTAGTCGCATCCGAGCAAGATACATAGATCAATAAACTAATGCAATCAAATGATCCGGGATAGCAAAGCACAATAACAGCTGTAAGCATGCCATGCAGCCATAATAATCACAGTGTAAATCTCCAACTATGCACAGGCTTTAAACAAACCTCGTCATGAGAAAAATTCAATCCCTCCAAAACTTTTTGTGTATTGAATTCGGAAATAGGTATTTTTTTGGCTTCACTAAAAGTCAAGTGTCGCAAGAGAACAGGAGCACCAAAAGTAAGCGTATCCATATCTTCTGAACCAGCAGCATATACCTAGACCGCATTTAAAATATTCACGTCCGTCAATAGCCAATATAACATCATTTTACCATCAAGTTGAGTTATCACACAAAACATGCCAAAACTCCACCTTGCCAGCCTTGGCCAGTGCTGCACATTGAGCTTCTGCCTCACAAGGCGCTTCGACAATGGGAATTCCCATGAGTTTTAACAAACGACGGCATTCTTGGTTTTGCTCTTTAGTCACTTTGACAGTACGGCGGCTAAATCTATTAAAATTCTCAGTGTCGCCTTGAACAAAAATATTAGACATCAAGTTTCAGTCACAATGTATTTTTATCCGAAATACAAAAGTAGATTTCCATCAACACACCTGTTTCAAGTGCTGTATCGGCTTCCTTTTGAGCTTCAGCACGACGTTCTCCTCTCTTTTGAAGCTATGAACAAGAGTCATGTTCCAATTTGATTCACAATACAAATCAGCAAAAGAATCTTGTTAAATGATGTATTTAAAACATCGACTCAACAAATAGTGTAGTAACGAATTAATTCAAATCACAATACCTCTCCAGATTTTAATGTTGGTGGTTTTCCGTCAAACACATATGCAGGTTTGATACCATTTTCAACCATACGAATAGTTCGGTAAAGCATGCCCATGAGATGACTATAAACGTAGAATGGGTTGTTGGCAAGATCGCCGAGTTAGAGCCAGTTTAATTCATATAAGCATATAACGCAACTCCATGAAAGTATACCTTGTAGTTTCACCAGCTTCGTTAGTCAGTTGTTGGCCATCGCTCTGGCGAACAGCAATCAGGAATTGATAGATGGACATGGATGCATCGATAGCCACCTTTCGGCCAAAATAGTTTTTAATATCATTTTGCTTGGTTGCTGCAGGAGCATTATCGCAAATGACTCTAGACAATCCTGTTGAAGCCAATAAAACGAAAAACAAATCAATATAATGCCAGACATGGTCAAAAGTTCCAGTTGGACAGAATGTGCAAGTGATGCTAATCACTTGGTAAAAGTATATCGATCCAACTAGTGTCCGAATTGATTTAATGGCAATAGGATTGAGTTTCCAGCCAAGTCCATCCTGATTGAGATGACTGCAAAGTGCCTTGTGTTTTATATACAAAATGCATCATGAATTCAATACGAATCTACCAACTCATTACCTTGGATTCCCATATCTGATGTTACTGATGTTTAAAGTGTAAATTAGTCAATGTGTAAAAAACGAGAAATATTTATATTTCAAGTTGCATGAATACGACAGTAAATATCCAAGACTCGATCAACAAGTATTTGGATATTCACTGCTAAAACTCACCCAGCCAACATCAGAATATTCAAGAAATCATTCAGCCAGTATTGATCTGGATTCCATATACTTTTACTTGCATTCAATGGTGTTTGGTCGTCGTTCAGTTAAACTCCTTCCAGCCTTGAGCCGTTTGAAGCGGTTTGGAAACTACAATCTTATTCTTCCTACTCAAAAGGTCTTACTGGGAGATACAATGATTAAATCAACACTCAAAGTACCTTCATCAATTCCTCAGCCAGAATATGATGTCACTACTGGGAAACCCTTGGTCGTACTGGATCACATTCATGTCAATTCTGAATCCGAAATAAAAGGCATGTATGCTTCTGGAAAGCTGGCTCGACAAGTACTTGATCTGGCAGTTGCAATGGTTAAACCTGGAGTTACCACGCTAGAAATCGATGCTGTTGGTGAGCGAGATGTTCACTCTGGAATTGTCAAACTTGTATGGATGGTTTCAACCGAGTGCTGACCCATGTTTACATACGCTTGAATTGTTCTAGTTCATCAGTCAATCATCAATGCTGGAGCGTATCCAAGCCCATTGGGATATCTCAACTTTCCCAGATCGGTATGTACATCCATTAACAATGTTCTTTGTCATGGTATTCCAGACGATAGACCACTTGAGGATGGAGACATTATTAATATCGATGTAACCGTAAGTAGCGATCATCTGAAACCCTGCTTGATTTGAACGATATACGTTGAAAGTGGAAATCGTATTACTCATTCATATCAGTCATTGTATTCAATTAGGTGTACTTGAATGGGTATGAACAACGACGTGTTTTGCATACTTGTCAGCTTATTCAATATTGAAATTAGACTGGCCATTTATCTGATCATTTTTACTTGTAGATTTCATGGAGACACAAGTAGAACTGTTTGTGTTGGAGATGTCGATCAAGCTGGACAAGCTCTCGTGAATGCTACCAAAGAATCTCTGGATTCTGCTATTGCTGTATGCGGTCCAGGAGTCCCCTTTAGCGCGATTGGATCTGTTGTAAGGTAGCCAGAAATGGATATCACTCTATGACTTATAAATTATATTTACAATTTTTGAACCATTCAAGCAAATTTGCTCGATCTGGTGGATATAGTATTAGTAGAGATTTTTGTGGACATGGCATTGGACGCCAATTCCATCAACCTCCTTATGTATTGCATTACAAAAATAATGAACCGTGGATTATGCAGCCTGGCATGACATTTACCATTGAGCCGGTACTGTGTCAGGGAGATAACGGATACGCCAAGTGGCCTGATGCGTGGACGGTGGTATCGTTGGATGGTGGCCGATCAGCGCAATTTGGTAAGCAACTGCTGGATCACTGCTTGATGTTTTGCTAGATTTACAATGCATTCAATCGCTAATCTACTACCTTGATTCAATCATTTATTAATCTGGACATGTGTTGTGATATAGAACATACTGTGCTGATTGTTGATGATGGTGTAAAAATACTAACATAATGATCAAAGACTATGGCATCTATTCAAGCAATGGATGGCTACATCTGGCAATTTACCATTTGAATAATGTACTACATTTGAAAGGCAGTTTATCTGCAGAGCAAATTTATTAAAAAATATAAAATAAGCTAGATGAATCTAGTCTTATGGTCAATTATAAAGATCTAGAAACAAAAAATAAAGAGTCACAAGTTGTCCATTCTTGCATCTTTTTAAATCAAACAAGTAGATCTACAAGCTGCTGCTTCGCAAAGTCAAATCTGTCGTCACATTGTAAGTCTACATAAACTCTTTTCTAATGAACTGTCCGAGTTTTTCAACACGCCCATATCCCACAAATATGCTTCAAAGTCTTCAAACGACACTCTTCCCGTTCGTTCCCATCCAGTAATCTCATCTGTCATTCGCAACAACGTGTGTGTGAGCGCTCCAGCCCGATACACCAACAGAGCTGGTAAAGCAACATCGTCAAACGATTCATCCGCTACAGTAGATACAATTTTGGCAAATTTGATGGTAGGATATGATGTTGCCAAATGATCAAGAAATGTATTGACTTGACGACATGCATCGTGAGTGGATTTGTAGAGATGTATGACAACAGTGACCAATGGATCTTCATTGTCAATCACATCAACGTAATCCTCTTGCTGTAGATTGTATACAGTAGAGAAATGAGGTCGCATAGCTTGAGATTTGAGTTCCAGCAATCGACGTGCACGATACTCTTTGATATATTCATCATCATCCTCAAGCTCATCTAGCACATCTGTTGAATGTTGAAGCGTCCCACTACCCAACGAGTGATGGTCAATCTCTAGTTGGGGGTCCGACGTTGCATTCTTTTCCCCAAGAATCTGTCGTTGCATCCATCCAGTTGAAAGGGCTTGGTCAGACCATTTCTTTTCGTTGGCTTGCTGACGTGCAGCAGCTCGAGCTTGCTCTTGACGTTTATGAAACTTGTAGTCGTTGACGACACCTTTTGGGCCTGTAAAGTTTCCACCAACACCCAGTTTTTGACGGATAGCACTATCTTCAAGCAGACGAGCCATGTCTGGATCCACTGGTTGTGAGTTTAGGTTGGCGGCATTGGCTTCGTCTTCGCTCAAGTTCTCATCAGAGTCAATATCCGAGCCCATGCGGAAAGGCTCGCTATCTGGTTGCCCTGGAGCAGACCCTTGCTTGATGGCTCGAATGATGGCCTCGTCCATGTCGTTCATTTTAGAATGGATGGCTGATGTACTGTCTATAAAAGTATTTGCGACTTGGTGATGAAAATGTTTATTTTTCAACCGCCAATTTTGTCATGTTTAAACAGCATCAAGCAGATTGTTGCAGCATTTCAAAGCGACTTTTTCGTTTGTAGAATTGCACGATTGCTTCAGTCAACATACAGTCCAATTGTCTAACCCATTTAATACATTTCTAATACATTGCACCAAACTGCAAATAAATCATAGTATCGATGATTTTTAATTCATTGGTAATTCAGATGAGGATAAGTGGGCTAGGAAGATTAGTAGCTCAGACATGATATTAGACTGAGATAATCCGTCAAAAGTGGTTAGGAGGTAAAGTAGTGATGCAAGTCAAGGAGCGGCATTCGATATTTTAAACCTTGTTAATTTCTTCATACATGGCTGTAATCTGGGGCTGGTAAAGCTTCTTTGCTTCGTGTCGCTTCAGCTTGAATGTAGGCGATAGTAGATTATTTTCGGGTGAAAATGCAGTGTGGTCCAAGTGGATTGCCTTGACACATTCAAAGCCCTTGAGATCGTGCGATTTACCAAATGCAGTCAGTTCCTTGAGCATGGCTTTTTTGACCATCTCCTCTTTGCAAAGAGCTTCAAACGAATCACTAGTAGCGCCAAGACTCTTGGTCCATGGCATGAATGAATCCTTGTCTGGAACAATGACAGCAATGACGGTGGACTGCAGACTATCGCCATAAACAAATGATTGTGCAACAAGTTCGTGCTGGTGATAGACCATCTCAATCTTTTCTGGCGCAATATACTCTCCTTGAGCAAGCTTGAAAATGTGCTTGACTCGATCAATAATCTTCAAGCGTCCCTGAGCATCCCACATACCAATATCACCGGTATGACACCATCCATCTGCATCAAGGACCTCGGCCGTTTTTTCTGGACTATTGTAGTATCCCTTGAACACGCATGCACCGCGCACGCAAATCTCACCACGAGGGAAAGGTTTGTCTTGCGAAGTATAGTTGAGGTCTGGAACATCAAACAGCTTGATCTCACATTGAGGCATGGGAACTCCAATGTGACCAGCAGAAGTGTCCTGGACAACAGTGCACGATGCACCACCACTGGTTTCAGTTTGACCATAGCCTTCACTAAAGCTGCACAAAAAGCAGATACGCATAAAATCGACTACATCGGCAGAGATGGGTGCGGCACCACACAACATCCATCGTACACGACCTCCGAGACGTGCACGAATCTTGGAGAACACAAGGGCATCCCAAAGAACATGCGTTGTAACACCATTTTGCAAGTTCTTCTTCTTGGTAGCATAAGCATGGTTGAAAAGCTTGGCGGATAGACCACCCGACTTTTTGACAGATGCCAGCACTTTATCATAGATGCGGTTGTACAGACGGGGAACAGACACAAAAACGGTTGGTTTAAGCTCGGCAACATCATCGAGAAGTTTGAACGTGTCGCCTTGATAGAAACCAATGCTTGCACCAGAGTAAATGATGGCGCACTGAATGATACGCTCAAAAACGTGTGCTAGAGGAAGATAGGAGATGTGGACATCGCTACTAGTTATTTCTGGAACAAGGCTTTCTTTCATAAATGTACGAGCACCAGTATTGAATGACAACAGATTTTCGTGGGACAGGACAACGCCCTTGGGAAGCCCAGTAGTTCCGCTAGTGAAGCAAATGGTGGCAATCGTGTCCTTGTTGATTGCTACCGCAGGCAGGGGAGACTCGGCACCGACAGACTCGGTATCCTTCATACTGAAAATCTGCATACCGGCAGCAGCACCGTCGCTAATCAAGGATTCGCTGGCTTCGTCCATAATCACGACTGTCTTGATATCCCGAATTTTTTCAGCCATTTTAATTAATATCTTTGCCTTGTCAGATGTAGCAACGACAATTGAGCAGTGGGTAAGTCCAATAATATACTCAATGGCCTCTTCGCCAAGAGTATCGTAAAGCGGAACTGTGGTTGAGCCATACATAAAGCATGCATGCTCAGCAATAATCTAGTGTTTCAAAGGCAGAGTGAGTTGCTAGGCTTTTCATGCACTCAATACAGATCAGGCAATAAGGACATGCTTTAACCTTACCCATTCAGCACGATTAATAGAAAACAGACCAATGTTATCGCCTTCCTTCATGCCACGCTTAACAAGACCAGCACTAAAGACCAAGCAGTTGAGTAAAAGTTAGTTTGATAAGCGGCCAAATATATTAGGCAATATAAATCATCCGCAGCTTACCCAAGATTCTTGACACGCTGGAGGACCTGATTGTAAGTTTGCCAGGAATATGGACCTAATTTTCAGAATGAAACGGGTTGAAATCAAATTTAGCAAGGTCATCACATGGTTTACTGACAATGAGCATTTAGTCAGAAGTAGTTCAGCAATGACTGCCAAACTAGGAAATCATAAAATCAAAGCCCCAAAAGCGCTGCAGAGTTGACAGCGGAAATTAGGGTTGGTGATGATCGTGCATGACAGGGCCGTTTTGATAAATTGGTTTTACTATTCCATACAAACTGATAACCTACCAAAACCAGCACTAGTCATGGCTCTTGTACCGAGAAAGGGTTTATCACCTATATTGAACCATGAAAAAATCAGCAACCTAGATCAATACCCGTTTAAAAACAGTGAGAAGCAGACAGGGGTGGTCATATTTTCCAAAACATCCGTTGCAGTTGCATGCTTCCATGAATTGTCAGTATGCAGCTCAACAAATGCACTAGCTTCCATGCCAGCTTAGAAACCATTCGACCCCATGCAACCCAATCTATAGCAGTTACTCTGACTTGGTAAAACACACCAGAAATAGAAACTCCGTTTTGCAAGACATCGTGCAGCGTGTTGATGCCTGGAAGTAGTCCAACTATAGGACCTGGAGGTGTTTTGTAGCAACGACGAGCCTGTCATAGTAGAAGTCATACAGTGTAATTAGCAATGATAATGAATATACGCTGAAAACGAATAAATGCAGCCATTAGATGGATAAACGAGGGGCTGCAACCATGTTCTATTAGAAACCCCATGTTTATATCCATGTCAATAGCAGATGCATTGATCCGGCCAAGTACAGTAATGAGCCAAAGCATCATCAACCCTACCTTTCCCTGTCCAGGAAGATCAACGGCATCAGACACCTCTCTAGTAAAGATAGTAGTTGTGGGGGCCATTTGAATAAGTGTGGGGTTTTGAGATTCAAGGAAGGTTGACAGTGTTTGATTTTAAGCAAAAAGTGGGGTTTGCTTGTAGTTTGAACGGCGAACAATGCTGAGTAATTACAGCCGTATTCATGCAAATGGTGCAATCTTGCAGTGAGTTTGCTTCGGAATAAACAATAATTGAATGCTCATTGTTTTCCTATACAAGTTGACGCACCGCCTCTAATTGGATTCTCAATCATTCCTGTGTCTGGAGTCGCATACCGTACCAAGCCCTGTCTTGTATTTCACCAAAGTTCGATAGTATGGATCTGTGTAATGAAGCTGTATACTCGCGACATTGCTGTTTGTTGAATGGCTGGCTGGTCATTTTAGTCTGTAGATTTGTAGCCTCATTCAGGCATGTTTAAATTCAAATGGGCATCAGGGAATGTTTAACGCCATTGTTTAGAAATCATAAAATATCAAGTCATAGAAAATGAAATAAGGATAGTATCTCGACTCTTGAAAAACACAAACCTCGTTCGCTTCCAGCATTTCAAAAACACCCATCTTGGGCTTATAAATTCCATCCTCAAATAATATCTTTGGTTCGCCCTGATTACAAGTCGCCATGTACCGCTTTAACTTTTTGAACTCGCTCAGATGTATGACATTCAGCACGCTGGAAGACTTTTGTCAATCTGTACACATTGATGCTTACAGGATATCATTCGGGTGTTTAACATCAATCCCAAAATAATCTTTATTTATCTTGATGCCGTAGTAATCGTGAAACAACTCTGGCTTTTCTTGACAATCTATGTCATCTTTTTCTGGCATTTCTATCATGAGCAAGACAATACCAGAACCAAAGATTATTGGGTACATCTTCAAATGACACAATATTTGGTGTTTTTGATGAAATCTGGCAATGCTAATGGTGAGCCAGCAGACATTTCACGTAGTGGAGTCGACAAAAGAACGTACTCATATATGCTCTCAACGCTCCACTTTGAATTCGACGTTTCAGTCGGTCAATGATATCGTCGCCAGTTAGTTGTTCCAGAATACTATCAACTGATGTATTAATCAATGGCAGTTTGCATTGAAAAATGAAGTACTACCAGATGGATTAAACTGAATTGTTTCTTTGATCGCTACATTTTGCAGTATATACCCGAATTGAACACCAAACCAATATCAAATGTTTTGATTGCTGTGGAGCGTAAGCGCAGATTTCCGAGTGGGAATCAATATCCCACTTCAAACTGTTCATTGGACAAGAATGTTTGCATTTCCCAAAAAGAATCTGATTTTCAAGTTGCTTGTTGAAGAGTAAGCTAGTTCTACAAGCTGGATATCTCAATTCATTTTGACAGCACATTTATGACATATCAAAATATAAAAGCATTGGAAGCACTGAATTAGATGTGAGAATATGCCAATGTAGCAGATTGCACATTGCAAATATTTTTTTGTAAATGGATGGCTGATTGTCATTTTATTTTCAGTCATGTATCTATCCCAAGAAATATATTCCCGGCTTTAATCTGAGTTTGAATATAATCCATTTAAATATCTCAAATGGAGATCGTAACAAGCGTGAAATTACCGAGTTAGTGGAATATACTCTTGAACCGCTACATGAAAAGACTAATGTATTTACATGAAATTATTGTGTTGGGTAATATTATACAATGAATTTCGAAATCAATACCCACAATGAATATCTTGAACGCATACGGAATTGGAATCATTGCAACCCAAATGAAAATGAGCAATTGTGACAATGACATCGAGACTGTTATCAAAGAAACAAGGATAAAGACCAGAAAATATACAGATAGTACTATTCATTGAATTCCGATCTTGAGAAGGAGAAGGAGAGTAAAAAAGGGTAAAGAAAGCAAAAACACAATTCCAGAACAATAAATAGAAACAATCACAACAAGTGCTTTATTCAAGCAGATATAAAGATACATTGATTAAACACGGAAAAGAGACTTGTTCATTCAGAGTAGATTAACAAGTGATTTCCACAACGATGGACATGATTGACATGATACCGAGTTGTCTCACCACAGTGTAAAAAGACTGCACTATCAGTTCCACGATCATTGGTAGCAACATCATCATTACTGGAATCTGAATGTGTCATCAATTGATGAGAGATTGTTGGTTGACAAACTGTCTCACTGCAATGGAAAGAGACATTTGAGTTGCTTTCATTATTGCTTGAATTCAAAGGTGTCGATAGTGTAAGATTGCCGTTTTCCACTGCTGTGGAATTTGGTTTATTTGAAACCATATTCATGTCGTCCTCGTCCATTTCTACATTTTTAGCACCCATCCAGTAGTGTTTAAAGTAGAAATCAGAATCATCCAGTCTGATACTCTTCCAACATAAACCACTGGGTGAATTTCGGAATTATGCTTCTGAACACTCTAAAAATCATTGCCAGATTCTGTAATTTCGGATACTTTGACATCAAGGCAGAGTACTCCAATTAAAGTCGTTTTCAATTTACCATGATTGTTGCTCTCGAGTTAACTATTATATCGTCCTCAAGTTTTCACTCAAAACTGCTTACCAAAGACTAATCATGATTTTGATCATTTTTTCAATAGATTTGAATTGAGATTATCCCTTTCACCTCCTTTGGTATAACCGTACATTATACGATCGTCAAAACTGCACTTTGTATTCTAAAATCCCATTCGCGTTTTAATTCAAAAGATTGCATGTCTTGGGAATACAACTATACATGTCAATTGCAATGATCGGTTTGAATGAGGGAGAGTTGAATGTTCAACAGGCGTAGGGTTTACTGGAACTGTAATGTAACATTTGGTTTTTATACAGAATGAGCACGAAGAAAACCCAGAGTCCAAAAGGCATAATGCTGACCAGTAAATTTGGTGTAAATCATCACACAAGACTGGCTGTTTCCGACACCTTTATTTGGTGTTCCATTTACATGAATACGGTCGTAATGGAAACGATGCTGGACTGGGCTGTCTTTAGCTTATCTAGCAGCATATATGAAATTGTAAACTATCGAGTTTACCTTTTGGTTTGCTTTGGATGATCCCTTTAATAACTACTTTGCTTTGAAAAGTATTTAATGTTTTTGCGACATGAGCTTAACCTGCGGCCTATTCTTAAATATAGAAAAGGGCGATTTAAACTCGTGCAGATTTCGCTGTTGGAACAACACTGCCAACTACCATTTGATTCACATCCCTGTTCCTCATATTCGGACTTGATCTCTGTTAAAGATTCAAACTGTCTTGAATCTTTAACAAGTTTCATCTACTTTTGTTAATCTAATAATTTGTAAGAATGGAATATCTTGAAAACAAGCTGATTTTTGGTCATTCAGCACACATTGCAGCAGAACCCGATGGGTATGACTGCAAACAGCAGTCGAGTTTGTATGAATTCGGTCGCAGGGAAGCAATTGGCACAAGCCATCAACGCATTGGATCTGACAGAACACAACCCCTCGCACAGCCATTGCCAACTCCAGTCTGTTCTGATCAACACTATTATCTAGAGTCGAACCCAATCCATTCGTTTACCCATGCTACTGCCAGCATTAATCTTACAACAATCCACCAACTATATCGGACACTCCGCACGTCACATTCACTAAGCTGTCTTGGACTTCCACATTCAACCAGCAACTACTGGAATGCCTGCTCCGCCCCTTACAACCACTTCTTCCACCCCCATGTCCAGACCTTCTACCTCGCTGGCCCAGACACCTCCATCCACAATGACTGCTTCGTTTGCAGACACTCCTTTTCTTAACAGGTGTCTGGCTATCAAGGACGACCTTTCTTTAGAGTCTTCTAGAGAGGACACTTCTGAATCTTTACATACCTCAACCATTCCCAGACCTACCTCGCATCTTGACAATGGCTCATCAGATACTTCTAGCTACACTCTGGACATAGGTCTTGGCTTGGCCACTAATAGAGCTGCTAGATTCGCTGCTCGTCAGGCTGCTGCTGCTCGATCCACTGCAAATCACAGACTACAATTTAAACCTGCTCAACTCGACCAAACTAGAGATGGCTCAGTAGATAGTGAACCATCCTCAATCTCCTCTCTGAGTAACGAACTCGAAGCCGTTCCAGTTCCTACTGAACTATCTGAGCTTCCATTTAGTTCTGTGCATAAAGTTCCTGTTCATTCAGGACGTTCCACTGTTGGAAGCTTATCTCGGCGTCAACATCAACGAGAGATTAGCGATAGGTAATCAAGTTTTACATCCCTTGTAACTCATCTTAGCTTTGAATGGCCACCATGATATTGAATATACTCCAGTATCTGGTTGTTCTAGAACCAATAGACTTTGAGTGCATTGTAACACTACTGGTTAGTTGGAAATGTATGTGCATTCCAAAACTAACATATATCTGCTCATCAAATGAATATAGATTCATTTCGGCAAATGCTGGCTCAGAGATCAATGATGTATATCAATATCATAGCACTGTGCATCTGACTCCAATAAAAACAACTCCAAAATCTAACATCGTCACATCTGACACGAACCAAACAGGTAAATACTACTCTTGGATCTTGTATCAATTCAACGTTTTACTGCGGCTATAATTGAAAATTGCATAGTCTGACCATTCATTGCAAATGTAACTAGACGTTGCTCATAAAATATATCAGGATATTCTTAAAAACGAAATGCTTTCCCCTACACGACTGTCACCATCTAGACTACTATCACCTACTCGTCCATCGAGTATTTTGGGCTACACCACAATGACCCCAACCAAAAGGCGAATTTTTGAATCGCCTAGTAAAATTATTCGATCGGCAACTGGACTATCTGAAATGAGTCATCGTGCACTACAGACCTCTAGAAAAACGTTTCGACACATTTCCAAAACACCATACAAGGTTTTGGATGCACCAGAACTCAAGGATGATTTTTATTTAAACTTGGTAGACTGGTCGACAAAAAATATGCTTGGTGTTGGACTGGACTCGTGTGTGTATCTTTGGAATGCATCTACTAGCAAGGTACACTATTTCTCATGTATCCTGATTTGAAGGGAATCTAAGCTTATTTTGTTTTCTACACCATTACATCGACCATGATAATAGGTTACAAAGCTGTGTGACTTGGCACCTCATGACTCTATCACGTCTGTTAATTTTATTCAAAGAGTAAGGATCATAATGACTTTGAAATACTTGTTACTGTGTAGTATTGTGACAAGCTTGGTTATATCTAACACGGTCCATTTAGGGAACGCATGTTGCTGTGGGCACAAACAGAGGGCTTGTACAGCTCTGGGATGTGGAAATGGGTAGAAGGGTGAGACAATTTTCTGATCACCAGGCCAGAGTTGGTAAGAACTTGCTGAATGTGTGATGGGATGCATTCTATCAGGATGGATGTCAAATCCAGCTAGTAAATGTATATGAGCATAACTGATTTGCTATGAATTAAATCATTCCCAGGTTCATTGGCTTGGAACAACGAGATTCTCACCTCAGGAAGCCGTGATAGATTTATTCATCACTATGATATGCGAATAGCTACAGCTTTGGTAAAACGGCACGAAGGTCACCGACAAGAAGTGTGTGGTCTCAAATGGAACGCCAATTCCAAAACACTCGCATCTGGAGGCAACGACAATATGTTGAATGTTTGGGATGTGCGAATGGATGAACCGTTGTTGCGGTACAAAGAACATACGGCAGCTATAAAAGCAATTTCTTGGTGTCCGCACGAGGTAAATCTACAGTGCTTTCATGTATCCTATTCACTTGGTGCATTGCTGTTGTTGACTTGCAATTTGAACTATGTTTCATCATGACTATTATGGGTATTTAGCACGGTCTTCTTACATCTGGGGGCGGAACGGCTGACAAATGTATTCGGCATTGGGATACTCTTTCCGATTCTCCCAATTCGATCATGTATGTTGATACTGGGTCTCAAGTCTGCAATATTGCATGGTCAAAAAGCTCTAATGAGCTTGTAAGCACTCATGGCTACTCTCAGAATCAGATTGTGGTCTGGAAATACTCTGAAATGTCACAAGTAGCGACATTGACGGGTCATCTATATCGTGTTTTACAGCTTGCCATGTCGCCAGATGGACAAAATATTGTGACTGGTGCAGGGGATGAGACACTAAGATTCTGGTCTGTTTTCAACAAGCCGAAAAACAAAACAGATCATGCCTCGAGCCTCATGCATATTCTACGCTAGTATATAGTCATTCCAATTACAGTTCAATGATCTTTATTCCCTTTCTACTAATCTTGTGACTTGGGCATTGGTTTAGCTTTTCTATTTATACATTTTTATTCAATCCATTTATTTGGGACTCGAAATAAATTGAAAAATTATCTACAACTCTATTTGTGTAAAATGTAGTACTTGTATTAAGATTTGACTACTTTTTCAATAGACACAAGGCTTATCGTGTAATACAATTAAACCATCTCTTTCTCGTTATGTGGTATGACCATATATTATACAGTCGCCAAGCTTAAACCAGATATCGGGTTCAATTACTTTCAAAATCATGTATTTTAAACACACACATGTTTGCGCTCTAATACAAGAAACCAAAAATTGCAATCTCAGGAATGCAGCTGTTGTTTCCATGCCAATCGCCAAAAGAAACATCAAACTTGTCAAGAAGCTCAAAAAACAATACTGTTTAGTAAATTTTGTCGAGACCAGCTGTTTATTATGCATCAACACCCTTGTCTAGTGTTTTACGTGAATACGATAGTAAGTGGAGGCTTTTAAATTCATTACCCATCTTGGCTACGCTGCTATGGTCAACACAACACTGTCCATTATTTACTATGTGACGCTTAATTCAAAATCCGTCGACTTTGTTCGATTATGCTTTCGGGTTCTTTGCGTCAACAGTGTATTGATATTCAGCTGTAACTCCTTCATCTATTTGCAATATGCACGATACATGGCCGACATAGTTAGAATCTTTAAGCGTAAACCACCTTTACAAAAACTGAATAGTATATAGATCCTACCCTTATGATATTTTCTTCATCTCTTGCTTCCATTTCATCGTCACGGCGTCTAAGCTCTTCCTTTAAACGGGAAATAACTGAATCTCGTGCAGAAATCTGTTTTAGGATTGTTTCATGCTCTTGTTTTCGTTCGCGCTTTTCCCTCTCAACCACGTCTTTCTTCTCCCGCTCAGATGCTTCACGAATTCGATTTAGTTCGCTTTGGAATTGAATCAATTGCTCGTGGGCTTCTTTTGCTTCTTTTCGTGCTTCTTCTAATCTTACACGAAGCTGTGTGATATCAGCCATATGATGTGCATCACGGGCTTGCAGATCAGACAATTCTTGAGACTGATTCATGCGCTGGTCATGTAAGCGTTTGATGGCTGCATCATGCTCCTTTTGAATTTGAGCATGCATGGCCTGAGCTGATGACAGTTCAGTTTGAAGTGCATCTCGCTGTCGGTGCATGTTTTGGTACTGCAGCTCAATATCGTTGCGCCTTGCTTCCTATTTCAACACAATCAAATCACACGTGGCTAGTTTCAATACACGAGTTAATCTAATCTCAAAACCATCCATTGATCTTTACCTCTTCTTTATGAATGCGTGCTTCTGTTTGAGATAACAATTCAGCCCAATGCCGTTTTTCGTTATTAAGTTTGTTTCTCATCAAGTCGACCTCCTATCAAATAATAAGCGTGATCACTATACAGTTATGGCTCTGTGAAAAACAAATCAGCATCAGTGTTGTTCAACTGTACCTCTTGAGCCTTGCTGCATTCGGTCTCAAGTTGTCGACAACGTTCGTCGTGCTTTTTGCAACGCTCGGCCATTTCTTCTTCTTTTAAGTTTTGCAACTTCATCAACTTGCCATGGCTTGTTGCTTCGTATCTCTGCAATTTCTCTACCCAAGATGTTACATTCTAATAGGTTTGCAATGCCATTTGCATGCATTAAAATATTTAGAAATGTATACTCACCTTCCCATAAACTTGCAATCGATCTCTCTTTTTCTTTTGCAGCAGCAACATCTTCGAGCAGAATTGCCTTGTCTCTTTTAAGTACTTCTACATCAAGCTCGGCTTGTTTAAGAGACGATTCAAGTTTGAGGACACGAGTAGTAGTTCCTGATGAAAGAGTTTGATATGTATCTTCTGCTCGCATGCGTTTCTAAAACAAGATATAGCAATATTGGGTTATATAGAGTTGGTCACTATTGTCTTTAAAACAAGCCAACGCAGTTTGAGCCGTTTTTAATGGTAGATACTGTAAATTACCTCGCGCTCAGTCACAAGCTCCTGTTGTAATTCTGTCACCTGTTTTTGCGATTGCGTTCGTTCCTGTATGACACGATTCTCAAATTCTGTTTTTTCTTGCATTACTCGTGATAGTTTAGCTTCAAGAATGGCATACGCTTCCTGACTTTCAGATATCTCTGCACTTGCCAAAGACAGTTTCTTTGACATGGATTGCGCATTCTGATCAGTTTCTACCAGTTTGGATGTGAGTTGTGAAAGAGCATCGTGATGGGATTGTGTGAGTGTTTGCAGCGTTGTGGTCAAGCCCTGTGTGTGAGCTTTGGTATACAAGTCGTGCTTGTATCGATCATTATTGCGCTCAAGAGCAGAGACAATACCCCGATGAGTGTCTTCGGGAATTTCATTTCCAGTGAGATTAAGATCGGTTAAAGTCGTGTTCCATTTCAAAAGATCTAGAAATGCTCTGCCTCCAATTAAGCCAGCATTGTTCCATCTATAGTCTATCATGTACATTTTATTAGATTTCAACAGCAGAATAGATTAAAGATACACTAATGCGTGGCATGTTTACCTAGACGACGAAGTCGAGTGTTGTGCTTGAGTGAAAGTGCAACATGCTGCGAAGCCTGTGGTCCAATTTTATTATTCCTTAAATCGAGCTCCTCCAACGATTGATTCAAAGTCAATGCATCAGCAATACTCTTCACACCAGCTTCCCAAATCCCAACACAATTCCATTCTAAATTCAAACTAAAATCCGACCCAATACACACGTTAGTCACAATACCTGCTGATATTCCTTAAAGTTTGGATTATGCTTGACTGAAAATTCAAAATATTACCTTTTTAAAGTAGAATTGACTTTGAGCATTTGTCCAAGTGCAATGGCACCATCTGCTCGTATACTATTTCCTCTCAAGTCCAAATAGGTCACAGTGGTATTGGATTTGAGTGCACTCGCAACAAGAATGCATCCTAAGTTGGAAAAATGTAGTGTGCACCATATTAGTATACCAATAGTTAGTTACGAAACCTTGTGTCAAACCGGACTCGGCTATATGCCTTGTAGTTCTGATTAGTCCAGCCAGCATACGACCTACACACATATTTTACATGCAATGACATACCATCGTCGCCAAGAAACGCATCAGCGAGAACTAGCCGAGTGAAAAAACAATCATCAGAAAGCGCAGATGCAAGAGCTGAGCCTGCCTTGAGAGGAATAGACTGTCCTGACAAGTTTAATGTTTCAACTAGATGGGATTTCTGTCGTTTTGGACTTAGTGTGGTGGTTATTTCAAATTCACTGTTGGGTCCATGGATTAGTGGGAGTGTATCCGAGTTTCCCTCATCTATCTGGGTCTTTCTACGTGCCAGTGTGTCGAGAACTGTTGTCAGAGGTTGGATAGATAGCTCGGCACACTTTGAAGTGTATTTGGATTTAAAATTCTCCATATCTTAGTAAAGTCTGATGCTACTCGCACTACTTTTGAGATTAGATTGGCAACAAGTTTTCTGGAGTGATAGATTCAATGTACGCGGAGCGGAGTACGTGATATTTTAGGTATACGTTCAGGAATAATCAAACTACTTGGCAATACAGCTCCAGTCTATTTAAACTCCATATTTATGGTGTATACGACCCGACTCTACTTTAATTCATGATTATTTAGCTCGAGTTATTTGAATCTCAGCTTTAACATCAATTTTAACTTTGACAGATAGCATTGTGCTTTTACTTGTATTCAGCATGCCATTTATTAATAAAAGTATTGTAGTCAAATAATATAACAGGATATCACCTGGTTACGATTGTAGTTTTTGCACTGATACTTACTGATATTCTTGCCTGAAACTATGCTAATTAATGATAGAGGGAGCTATTGTAAAGAGCCAGCCAATACTATTGTAAGTAGTTTGTAATCTACAGTTACAATCGAATTGAAAAATTGTGCTAACTAGTAGACTTTCATTTAAACCTTTGCCAGCCAGCTCTATGGGTTCTTTAGAAATTTGGTCAATGTTGTCTATCTCTTCTTTGTTAGTCTGCTCTGGGTAAGCCTTACTTTTGTTGAGCATGTTTATTTCCGAGTGTCGTCCCTGGTAAACTGGGGCTTGTTTGGATCTACTGACATACAGCACTGGTACTCATGCATGCACTGATTTGGACATGTATACAACCCAACAGCCCCTGGAGGATCCAGCACCTGCACCAAAAAGAAACGATGGACGAAGTAAACGACCAGCAGCCAAGATTCACGGAATGAAATCTGTGAAAAGTTAAGTGAGCCAACTCGACTCGATAGAAAAGAAACTTTCAAGATCATCTTGAATAGCATGTTCAAAGACGTTTTACTAGTGGATCCAATGTTGGGCTTACAGCTGCATTCACACATATTGAACACAAGGATGTCAAAATGCATAATAAACCATCAGTCTTGTGAACTGATTCACCCAAATGTATCGAATATTGCTTTTCAATTCTTTGACTAGTTTTTCTCATGATGATTGGCATGCGTAATTGTATTCTTGAACTTGTTCTCTTGAATTAGAGCGCAAACGTATCCGAGTTTAAAACGCAATAAGAGTTTGACAAAACAGTCGAAACCAATATCTGGACTGCAATGACAGGACAATCTCAGTTCAAAACTACAGTTTGGATTGTATGAAGAATGTCAAGTAGAGTGCAACGAATGCTTAAATCTTGTTCATTCCAAAACAAGAGATGATCGCTGCATGAATATAGAAGCGTTTTATTTCACATAAATACAACTTGAATGAAAATCTCAGATTGTCGATTAGTTTTCTCCAACTGGACATAATCGTGTTATCACAATGTTGCATATTGCAGAGCAACCCCAGTGTGGATTTCCACAAGATCCACAACTGAAACCAGAAAGACAACAACCTCAAACCTCATCAGAGATCATTGCAGCTGCTGGTGAGAGTCATTCTACTCTTGTTAAAGTCATGTCAAAAACTCTCTAATCCACTCACTAGTGTATCTGCATTCGCATACTCAACCTATGCTTTGCCAGTAAACCGTCTTATGACATCAAATTCATACAAGAGCACTCTGTTCTTGTATCTTCATTTCTCATCATGTTTACTAATGTATTGTTCAACTCAATTACTGATAGCAACACAGGCATTATCAGAATTTGAAGAGCAAACAAGGGAAGCATTGGAAGAACTAAATAAAGAACTTAATCAGCATATCAACCAATTCCCAGATGTATTGCGAAAGACGGTTACATTGCGAGAGTTTCTAACAAAGTACGATGGTAAAGTGGAGCGATACATCAGTCTGACTCGGCTTGACAATCAAGTGTCGACTGAGAAAACGGAACCCAAGCCCTTCAAGCCTAGAATATCCGTTGTAATTGAAAAGCACATATCGCTTCGGGAAAGTCTTGATCAAGCTGCTTTCTCAGTAGATCAGAGTGAGAAAGATGCTGCTATTACAAATACCAAAGAGTCTGCTGAATCAGAATCAAACTCACCCATCAAAAAAGCGTAAGAATTCATCAATGATTTCAAACTACAAGTAGTTTTGCAAAATACTAACTCTTGATTCCGTTCACTTGCATACTCTAATCTTGTCAATGTTGGGATGGGTTAAACCTAGCGCTCGAGAATTGAGATCAAAGACTGTAGCTCGGAAACTACCGACTAGACACAAGAAAGCTGGCAATGTTGATACGAATGCAATTGTGCCAGATCTTGACAAACTAGTAAAGTCGTCGGCTAAAGCTGCAAATAATGCATCTAAAACAAAATCAGCATTGCCAAATGGTACAGATTTTGCTGGCTTGAATTCATTAGAGTCTACAGCCACTAGCCCGGATGCAAGATCGGCATCCCGTTTACAAAAATCAAGCACCTCCAATTATCAGATGGATGAAACTGAAAGTGAGACTGAACGACCTAGGAAAAAACTGGGTCGCCCTGCAAAGGCATCCATTTCTACTGCATCTTCACACACCAAGGTTCCTGCTACACCATCAATCAGTCGAATGCTTCCGCAAACCCCCTCAACGCGACTGCGTCGAGTAAAGGCGGGCGAGCAACTCATGTCAGTAAATGGATCTCCCGTTATAGATCAATACAATGCATCACATAGCGAACTGAATGACACCAACTGGCGGAACTCCATTTCTTCTGCACGGCGCATCACTTTGAGAAGCAGCATGTCACTCACATCAAATGAACTCGCCAAATCTTTTGAGCCAACATCATCACAACATCGTACCTTGTGGAAAAAGAAAGCAAAAGTTACCACAAAATCCAAAGCGGGTTCCAAAAAAAAAGTAGTTAATTTGGAAGATGATTTTGACCCTGCAAATCAAAACCCACTTTTGGTGATGAAGCTGGACGATGGGACTGTGGTTGACTTTGATGCTGCAGTGTCGGGTACACTTCTTAATCAGCAGTTAGCAGATTCGCAACGTCGAGAGGTTGCTGATCAAATCCGGAACGTGCAGTCGCAGCTATCCAACTTGCTAGATTCCATGGGTATTGAATAGATTGAACTCTTCGGTTTTGTTATATAGCTAGATAGTGTCAATATGGCAATCTTATTTTATTTGTCCAATCTTTACCCTTTGATCTTGTCTCCATTTATACATGTCCCATGAATAAATACTCATATGGCTTGATAGAAACTAATCCATTTTCAAGCATGACACCTTTTAATCAAGTTCGAATCTGATAATCTGGCAATCATGTCGTCAAAATCTCCTTTATTGCGCTAGAGATTTCAAAGACATTTCTCACTCCAACTATCTCCTATTGGAAGAATCTGCGCCTTTACTAAACATTCGGCATATGTTAGATTGAAAGTAACTCGCGTGTCTATATACATCAACTCAATTACCCACCGTTTGCCGTGAAAACGAGCCCCATCGATCCGATCATCACCCATTATAATTGAACTGCCACTTTCTACAGAACGATGACGGCCAGAATTGCTAGATGCCAATTTAGAAACGCGAGTTTTTGCTTCTTCCAACGCTTGAGCATAGTTGTGATGATCAGTCTCACGCGCGACTGTAACGTCTTTAATATTCTGAATAGTCCGATCTGTATGCGACAATATTTCTTTGGAAGTTTGAAGCCTAGCAAGTATTATAAAAGATGAAAACAGTATAAGCCAAAGCTATTTCAAGCTATCGATAATTTCCTAGTATCCTAGGTTAATGAGAGGAAATGATATGAGCCAGACATACCATTGTTGAAGCGTTTTCAATACTAGAGCAGTTTGTTCAGGTTTGACATCTCGTCCCATAGAGTATTCTACTGACAAAATACTTTTCTTTTGATCCAGCTTTCCACTAATGACATTTTGATAAATGGCATCAATAATGAGATCCTCAAGCTCACGTACATTGGACATTCCAAGAGCGACAAGAAGTTGATCATATTTGAGATTCTAGATGTTAAACCATTTTTATAGCAGGTATCAGTGGACCAAATAACAACCATGAAAGTTTGGATGGCTTGATTGCAGTAATGGTGCACGTACTCTACTTTGGCTGGATAATGTGGCAATAGTAAGATGCTGTAGTTTTTTGAACTGTTGAGGAGTGAGTTCTGGTAGATTGGCCTGATCGTCTATTGAATACAGTGGTTAATTTTCAACTTGGAAACTCTTGACTCGCTTGAGTCGGAAACAGACCAGCAGTCTAAATATGAATTCTTACTTTTATAATCTTGAACTGTACCATAAGCAAAGATATTTAAAAGCATATAGTACTGCTTATACTGATCGTTGTTGGCCAACTAAAAGCATGATTAGGAGATTCCCAATTAGATAAACCAATGAAATGTTAATATATAATCCAATAAAATGACAGATTTATCAAAAATGAATGTAAATGTATAGCCGTATTCACATGGAATGGAATACTAAATAAAAACTCGACAAATGTCAAAGCAGCATTTATATGGCAGTTTTAGTAAATCCCACACCACTATGATCTCCAACTCTCGCTTCTTCCAAATCAAGCATTACAGTATTGGTTGATTAGCATGGAAACAACAGCTGCAACCTTTGTCCTTGAACGCGAACATATCTGTGAGTTTAGGATACAACATCAGAGCAGTCAAATCCAGTATTCGGATTGCAATGAATTTGATGATTGTACAATGTATGGTTACATCAAATGAGGAGAAAGAGCAGATTCAAAACCATAGTTTGTACTATATAATGAAAGTAATATATAGCAAGGTCAATCAGTAGTAGAAACGCAATGAATATTTAAACATTGTCTATTCCGAAGCAAAATCACTGCAAGAGTAATTCATCTTGCGTGAATATGGCTGTAATTTGATGTGCAACCAACTCTTCATCTATTGCTAGGGTCAAAAGCCATTTCATATTGCAACCTTGAGCCAATGAGAAACTCGCTTGATGTCTTACTATTTATATATATAGTTGTCTGATACAAGTAGATAGAGATGGATATGCTTAAAGGATAGCATTTGAGCAGATTTACGCTATGAAACCGATCAAATCTTACATCTTTGATGTTTGACATGTCTAGCAACTCTCCAAAGACAAATACACCAGGAGAAGAAATGGCATCCTGAATCAATTTTGCACAAGCAGCCGACTTTGCAGTCTTTGCAAGAAGAAGAAGAGGCTCAAGACGATGTGCTGTTGAGGACTCCAATACTGCCTGTGCCATTATGTGGGATTGATTTTTGCCAATATTTGGGCGGAAATCAAAACTTGAATTTTGACGAGTCTATTAAATTATGGGCAATATACAAGATGGCCAAATTTTATTTAAATTTGGCCAAAAACCAAGGCAGTGGAAAGTAATGTGCGAATCAGCAGTCGAACCTTGAGCAAGTGTCTCACATCCTTAATTGAATCGATTTTGTGGGTAGTAAAATGAACTGGACAACAGGAGTTAGAGAGCAGCAGCTTCTCAAGGTATATCACCATTCAATTTGATGGTTTGTGATGAAATAAACTCAATATGCATTCTATTCTGTTGTTAATGGCAAGTACATTAGAGATCTGAATCCTGTTATAATAACGCCGTGTCGTGGAGATCCATGGGACCATCTGAAGTAATAAACAGTAATTTGAAGGGCAGTACTATGAATTCTGCTATTTACTCATCCAAACAAGACCGGTCGGTATCTGAAAGTATAATTCATTCGATTACAAAATCACTACACATCAAGCGATCTCCAGCCAGTATGATCATTGGCAGTTCTGTTCAAAAGTCTATAGGAGAATCACGGGACATTATTTCCCTCTCGGCAGCATCTTTCCATCAGCCTAAACCAAGATCCAGAAAATCATCCTGTAAATCTCGCAAACGGAATAAAAGGATTCAAGGCCATATTACTCAGCAATGTGAAAATACACTAGCATTGAATCAGCCGATACTGGATTCATCTAATGATACTCAGGATACTCATACAGATGTATCCTCCACTGATATTCTCGATGATGCCACTAATGATCAAATTAACGAGGCAGCCAAAAAATTCATGGCACAGATTCAAGTGTCCGAACATGGCGAAATAAAAAGCACAGGCTCAACCTGCAATGCATCCATTTCCAGGTGAGGTTGCTGGGAGTCGCATTCATATACACAGCCAAATAATATATCATTAGTGCAAGATCTAACCTAATCCTTTTAATATTGTTGTATACGCCATTTCTTGAAGCAATTCATCTGTAAGATCAATCCAAGACTCATCCATTAATGAACATGCCAGCCATCAAAGCAGATACAACTGTTCTGGTTCTGGAGATACAAATCAAGTCACATCCATGGCACCATTGTCAACGTATGCCAAAAGATTCACCTCGACTATGTCTGTAAATTGGGACAGACTCATGAATCAGGCGGACGCTTCAGTCTTGGATGATCAAGACACAACCATGGCCATCCCACCTGCTGATGTACCGCTGGTTGAAAATAATGGCGGGGAAGATGTTCATGCATGTCGCTCAGCAACAATAGACGATTGTGTATATGGGAAGCAATATATGGTGTGTCCTGATTCCGAGTGCAGTGAATCTGGCGACTGGAAAAGGCCTTTATCGCCTACTCAAGAGCATCGATACGTTGCAGATTGTCCAGTGGAAACTATCAAGCAAACCATAGCAGATGGTAACGAGTTCAAGCAAAGAATCATGGATGCTATTGAACACTCCTTTCGGTTGCTTAAAGGAGAGATTGATTCGATGCTCGATCATCACTCGTTGAATATACCAGAAAAGAAATGAGTTGAAGCCACTAGCAACAATCTCAATCGCAGTCTTGGCTAGCATGGTTTAAAGTCTAGTTTTAAGGGAGCATCTGGCGCTAAACTCAAGCTTGATGCTGCTCAACGTGAGCAAAGCAATAAATTGCCGACTTTCCCATTATTAATAACGACCTTATACATGGCTGGGCTATTTGGCTGGCTCTCCAAAAAGGTAGCCATTGAATAGATTCAATTGGAGAGTCACAACCTGGAATATTGATACAGACGGATCCTCACATCTGTCATGATTAGGCAGTTGTTTCTGTTTGTAGACCATTCGACTGATTTGACTACTTGAACTCTAGGAGGATACCAACTATGAAAAGATTCTCTTGGAATTGGATGACAAAATCAGACGTAGTGAGATGCGATTAGCAGAGTTTGGTTTAAGAGAGCGTAGACTGCTCTATGCATGGTTTTTCTATACCCTTCCTGCGTATATCATTGTGCTTGCTGTATATGCCATGTATTACCGCATGTCAGATGGTGAACCATGGAAGCAATTCCTCATTAAATCGCTTCCCGTGGTGGTAGTGCCAATCATGTAAGTAGTATGAATGGCTCTTGCTTCAATGGTTCATAGTAGAGTTGAAGCCATGCGGATGTGGCGAGTCTTGAGCCTTGTAGGGTGGATTATGGCAAACCCATGTGAAACTTGAGTATTCAAAAGCTTGATATTCTTGCATAGCAAGTGCCTGTAGAGTGGCATTCAATCCAGCTATTGTGCAGTAGCAACTACTCCTCTACCAGAGCAGCATATACGGATTCTAACCAACTTTACTTTGCATGTCCTATTTAAATTATGACTAGAATCTATCTTGTTCGTGCAGGAATTATAGCATGGTATCTCCGGTGCAGAAACGTCGAAGGTGGGATTTACATTGTGGTTTCAAGACATTTTCTACAGCCCAAATGTTGGTTACTGTGAGTTGTCTAATATACGCATTTTAGAGATTCGTCTGGATGAGCTTCGTACCAAGCAAAATGACAAGATTACTGAATTGAAACTCAAGACCTCATTCTACCTTACAAAAGGCCTCATTGAGCGCTATGATAACCCAAAGGTAATCAAAATTGATGATGCTAATTGGCGCATTCTATGCATGTGGTTTATACTGACTGACGTTGATTCCTTGCACTGTATTTGATCATGATCGTGCTAGTCTAAAGGTGGAAAGCAACGCAAAGGATCCGAAAATCCCAGTGGACATGATCAGACTTCTTCTGGTGAGTCTTGCTATTTTTGTGTTTAAACTAAGCATTATGGACACTAGTATGGCTTATACCTATCTACTAACTAGGATCGCGTCATCATCCTCAAGCTAATCGTCAACCTCAATCTGCAGACAGTCGATCTGAAAAAACACAAGAATCACATGGACAACGCCCTCACACCCAAATGAGTCCCCAACGTAGAGCATCTCCTAGTGTATCTGAAAATGGACCTCATTCTCGCCAAATGCTCTCTAACCATCCGGGCTTTCAGCAAATGGATAATGCACAACACACGCCACTTCAAAGACAGCAGCTATTGCACCAGCAGCATATACGCAACAACGATCAGCTTACCCCTTCACATGTTGTACACCAACAACGTATGCATTCGTTTCATACTGTGATGTGTATATTCACGGCTGACTTTGTCAATTTTCCAGATCAGCCGTGTTTATGTTTAGTTTTGCTGATGATATATTTGAAAACTAATCTTGCCACTTATTTTAGAGCAAATGGCTGCTTTGCCTGCTTCTGTAAATTGGTTTGACTCGTTGCTGGAAGCAATTATTGGAGAATCCGATGGTCCTCAACATAAATATGCTCTTATTTGCGAGAAATGCTTTACACACAACGGTCTTGTACTCCCGAATGAATATTTAGTATCGAGTAAGTTGCACTGTATTCTATCAGTTTTGCTATATCACACCATCTTTTTAAAATAATAGATTCTACAACACTGCATTTCGATTGATGACTGTATTAGGATTCAAATGTATGCAATGTGGTCATTTTAACGCAAAGAAAACATCTGCATATGCATTTGATTTCAATCATTCAGCTGAGCAGTCTAGTCACACTTTCAACTCGCCATCTCCACCGAGCTCCCCTGTTTCGCGTCTTCGTCGTCGCAGCAACTCGATCTGCAGTAATACAAGTGATGCCAGTTTTTCACCCATGCATTATGATAATGGCTCGCGCTCACAATTTCAAACAAGTTCGGTTGAAAATTTGACTGAAGAGCAAAGATCTGATGCTGGCACAAATGAGAATATGACACTACAACAGCATGAAGAAACTGTAGGCAACAATGACACTGCATCCGAAAAGCATGACTCTTTAGATTCAAATGAGCTGCCAACAAAAGACGTTTCATCTAACCAAGATGCTTTGTCTGACACGAGTAGTGTATAAAAAGCACTGAATAATACCTTTTTTGTTTAATAATGGCAAAATTAGTTTACCATATTGGCGATTCTCACTAAAAGTTGACCAGACAATCAAATAAAATATCATTTGAATCTAGTAGGGATAGATACTTGAAAATGTATTGGGTTTCATGCCAAGCAAAGGGTTTACTTTATCCAAAATCGATAGTTTAAGGGCCAATTCAAATGATTCGGTC